CTTTGCGGGTAAGATTGGCTACCCCTGGTCTAAGGCTTGGCAGCAGGAAGCGGAGGGAGAGAGGAGGATGGTCGGTGAGTCCACAAGAGACTGTCTGTGGGCTCTTTCTTACATGGTGCGGTGTTGAGGTGCCGTCGCTGATGTGCAGGTCAGATGGCCTGAGCCCAGCTTTGTTGGAATCAAGTTGACGGTTCCCTCTTGGGTGAGAGGCAGCGCAGGCCCAAAGGAGCCCAGGGCCATAGAGTTCTGTGGGGCCAGTGGCCTTACAGTGTCTTCTGTCCTACTGTCACTGATGAATATGTTGGTCACACATTCTATTCTATACACACTCATTAGCTCTCTGGAGTCGGCAATGCTGCATGTGGAATAAAACAGAAATTTTGCCAAACTGCTTCAAAAACTCATTTCGAAAGCTAGTTTTTGTCAGCTTTGTAGAGGGACTAAAAAGAACAACAGTTATTGCCTCAGTATCTTTCTTTCCGAGCCAGAAAGCACCATCGATGGCCCACTCATGGTAACCACATGGTAAACTGGCGGCCGGTATTGTGTCAAGAAAACATACAAAAACACCCAATCTGAATCGTACAGACCTCTCTGGTGAGCATTATCACTAGAAGAACCAATCTTTCCCACAAGACCCAAACTGGCTGGAAATGCAGAAACTTTCAAATGTGTTATTACCAAAATAATGGAATGATCTTCTGGAAATGCTGGGCACCGGCAATCTCCACCATCCAACAACCGCTTGTAATTACAATGACATTATGTGGCATTCTGTCTTCTGCAATTGTCCTTCTAATGGTCCTGATAGTTTTTTGTAGGCCGGAATGTAAACCTATGTAAAGCGACTATTCAGCCACAACCTGTTTTCCATTGCATATAATAAACTGTAAAAAGGCTTTTATTGTGTTCAATTCACACTGACTTTCCAAACTGATGGGTAGGGTGGGGGCAGTAACATTCCAGACTGATGGCCCATTACCTCTGGAGGGGACTGTTACAGGTGAGTTGACACTTAGGTAGGAAACTTTATTAATCCCTCGGGAAGGTTCCTCTGGGAAATTCAGTTTCTAGCAGCACCATAGCACAATACAACATTCAAACAACATACAGTTACACATACACATACATTACAGTGACAGATAAAAGTATAGAGAGAAGTAATAAATAGTGATGGGATGATGGTACTAATAAATAATTTTTGTCCGGGTTAATCGGTCTATTGTACAGTCAGTTAAATGTCCTACTGACCCCCCTCCTGCGCCCCCAATGAGGAGTTGAACAGTTTGATGGGGTGTGGGACAAAGGAATTCCTAAGTCTGTCGGTTCTGGATGTGAGGAGTAGCATCCTGTCACTGAGCGTACTCCTCTGGTTGTTAATGACAGTGTGCAGAGGCTGCCTGACATTATCCATAATGGCCAGCAGTTTGTTCAGAGTCCTTTCCTCTGCCACCGTGGCCAGAGTGTCCAGCTTCATGCCGACAAGAGAGCCAGCCATCCTGATCAGTTTTTCCAGCCTGGTGGAGTCCTTTTTTGCTGTGCCGCTCCCCCAACACACCACACTGAAGAAAAGGACACTAGCCACCACAGACTGGTAAAACATCCACAGGAGCTTCCTGCAGATGTTAAAAGGCCGCAGCCTCCTCGGGAAGTACAGCCTGCTTTGGCCCTTTTTGTACAGGTGCTGTGTGTTGTATATCCAGTCCAGTTTATTGTCCACCCACAGCCCGAAGTACTTGTAGTTGTGCACCACCTCCACCTCCTCTCCCATGATCAGAACTGGTCATGGACTTGGTCTGGACCTCCCAAAATCTATAACCAGTTCCTTGGTTTTTGAGGTGTTCAGCTGCAGGTGGTTTGTGTGGCACCAGATAACGAAGTTCCTCACCAGACTCCTGTACTCCTCTTCCTGGTCGTCCCTAATACGCCCCATGATGGCCGTGTCGTCCGTGAATTTCTGAATGTGACACAATTCAGAGTTGTAGCAGAAGTCTGAGGTGTACAGTTGGAAATGAGAGGAGACTGCACAGTTCCCTGCGAATATTGGATGTACCAGAAGAGAAATGATGTATACATGACCTGTCTTGTTTAAAATTAGATTCACCAACCCTGCTCCTGAAGATTAACCTTTATTTCCTTTTTGCAAGAAATAACCACTTAATATTGTGCAGTGTACCACAATGAACTGCTTAAAGCACAATATATACTGTTAAAGGTACAGTGTTGGCAGTTGTGCAGTGTACCTCAATGAACTGCTTAAAGCACAATATACGTCATGTGTCTTGTTTAGTTTTAGAGTCACCTCTCACACTCCCACCTCCCCCTACAATCCAGACCTCCTCAGATCTGAGTCTCTCTCACTTCTCATTTTTTCACATTCAACATCATGCACCTTATTGCCTCTGTATTTAAAGTAATTTATTATTGTTCATAGTTCATTGTGCAATACACAGAATATACATACATATATACAGATATGTAATCTCAACACAGTTGCACATCTCACCCCTTGTTGATCACTGTTTGTTCTCAGCTAAAAAAATGTCTCTCATCTTTTGAGTCAAATGTTACAACTGTTATGTATGTGCGCAGCTCCTCTATGGCTTTTAAATTGCCCCTCGGGGACAAATAAAGTTTTTTTTTTTTATTGAATTGGCCGATTTGTTTACTCCAATGAAAAATGAATGGTTTAATAATAATTATATATGGAAATACATGAAAATCCAAAAGGCGTGCATTGTCAACCCACAGTAAAAGCATACTTTACTAGATGTCTCTGTTAACTAACTAATTAACTAATTAACTGTTAATTAACTAATACCTCGTTACAGCTGACGTGGGTTACTTTCGTAGCTATGAACAAGATAGAGCACAAATAGTAAAACGGCTCTAATCGCAAAAAGATCGATGTCCATCGCTGTCTTTGTCCTATAGACATCAAGAATTTGTGATTAAAAATAGCCATATATTGTTAAGGGCGGAAAACTTAATACCGCGTATAAGGTGAACTTTAGCGTGGTGTAACATGTGTAAGACATTCCAAAACTGAAGTAGAAGTTTATGATGCAGAATTCTCTGAGCTGGGTTCCGTTTTCACACACGTCCTGACCATCAAGTGCTCTAGTGCGGCGAAACTGTCCACTGTCGCAGGGTAGTTACGTCATCGAACATGGCGACGCCCACAAAAGCGCGCGAACAAAGTAAATAAATAAGAAGGTATAGCTGGGTTATACTGACTGAGGAGTTTCAACATGGCTCAAACATGTACCACCGCCGCCGCCGCCGCTCGTCGAGTTTTGCGCGATATGCAGGATAGCTATGTCCTGGAGAGTGATGAAGACTGCACCTTCTCTTCAGATGAAAGTGGTGAGGACACCAAGGAAGATGCCGCTGAAGATGTGTATGATGAGTAAGTAGCTTTTGTTTGTGAGTTGAGTGGATTATTTTGCCTCCGTTAGTTATGAACTGGCACAGCATATTTATCCAAAGGGCCTGAATTTCACTTAAGCACCGAGCGCTTCCTGCGTGCAGTGTCAATGTGAAAAGGCTGGATCACGAGCACCTGGCTGCAGGATCATAGGAAACTTTATTTTAAAATTTAAAATAAAGTTTAGTGTGCCGTTAGTTTTCATAACGGCGTATACACCCTTAAACAAATGTTTGTGTCTTTAGAGACCGTTTGGCAACCTAGCATTGAGCCGTTTTCCCGACGGCACCTGAGGGATGCAAAGTGAGATCGAACGTATTACGCAAATATAAATGTTTTATGACCTATTGCAACTCCGTAGCAGAGCATGTGAGCGAGGAGCGGAGCGGAGCGGGCGGAATTTGGTCAGAGCGCGGAACAGTTTTTAAATTAAGGCGGGAGCGGTCGCTTTGTCCGATACCGCTCACGCTACGATTATTTCACACAGTATTTCACCAAGTATTTCACAAAGAGAACTGATAAATCATACAAGTGTACTATTATCAAACGTTTCGGTGAGTAAATATTCACTTCGGAATAACTTTTATATCGTTGTAGGTCTAATAGGATTTTTGTATTTCACGTAACGCCGTCAGTGAATTTTTATTTTATACAGACGCAGCATCAACAGGAATTTAAAACGTGCCTGTATATTCTTTTAGGCTATTAAGCCCACTGATTCCTTTATTTTTTTTGTCCCTCTTTTAAATTGGAGCGAACGTAGAACGATTTGACTGGAGCGAGGAGCGGAAATTCTCACCGCTCCTCTCCGCTCACATGCTTTGCTCCGTAGCTGTGAGGATTTAACGGCTTTCCCATTGTTTTATTATTATTTAATGCCGAACGTTATGCTGACGCGATGGACCATCAGAGAAAGTAAATTGCTTCTGGCGGTTAAAGGTGGTCAAAAGACTGCTGCTGCTGTTCTGGTGTTAAACATCACATGTAAATGATGGAAAAAATACTTAATATGTATCACCACTGCCGTAATGTGTAGGCAGTGAATAGATAGGTTCTTTGCAAATAGGTTAATATGTATTCAATGGTCCCTCATTGTGTATATATTTTTTCATCGATTATTTTACAGAGACTTAGAGAACATTGCACCTGCAAGCAAAAAAGCACGGTATCAGCACAGCCAGCAATCGCTGTCCTGGAAGACGGAAAGTGATGCTGATGCTGCTCCACCAACACTGCGGTTTCTTCCTGCAAGGGAGCCCGGCGTGCAGCTGAGCATGCGGGACAGTCATAGTCCCGCGAGCCTCTTCAAGCTGTTCTTTACAGAGGATGCTGTGAACACCATCTGCCAGAACACCAACAAACAAGCTGCCAGGAACAAAGGCAAGGGAGCAAAGTACAAATGGGTGGATGTTGGA